AGAGAGAGAGAGAGTGAGACGAACAGAAGAGAAGAAGAAGAAGAAGAAGAAGAAGAAGAAGAAGGGAGGAGAAGGCAAACTCAGTGGAAATTGCCGCGAGAGAAAAGAAGATAAGGGCGAAACGAGAAGAAGGGTAGCCTCGAGTGGAAGAAAAAAGAGAAAAGAGAGAGAAAAAGAAAAGAGGAAGGGGAGGAAGAAAGGAAAGCATGTGCGAGATCATGTCGACGCGGACGATTGAAACGAGAAAGAAACGACGGATGAGCGAGAAAAAGAGAGATATATCAGAGGAAATGTTCTCGCCGCGGGAAATGATTTGAATTTCGATCCCTTTATCCGATGATTTCGCGCCGCAAAATAGCTCGTGCTCGTTCTTCGCTCGTTCTCTTTCTTTCTTTTCTTCTCCGCGATTATTCAAGCTGCGGCGGAGGGACGTGTCGCGAGGGAAGGAAGAGAGAAAGGAAAGATTGGTGAAACGAAACGATGATATGTGGGATTGTCGGACAAATGTCGGTTTTCAGCGCCAACTTGGAACGCTCCCCCCCCACGTGGCGCGCCCAACCCCCCACGAGAATAGGTGACACGGACACACTAGCCGCGAAAAGGATGCGGGCCCTCTTCTCCTTCGGTAACCTCGGTGCTGAGAGGGTGTCACCCGATCAATGGGGCCGACAATGTTGCCCTGCACCTGCACACATCCAATAAGTCCCACGATATCTGGCTGGTAAGTCCTCGCCACCTTCGTGCCTCCGTTCATCCGTTCGTGTTTTTTCACCACCACCCTCTCTTTCTCTCACTTTGCCTCACAAGATTAATTTCGTCGTGATCTTGTTCCCCTTGTCATTGCAATATTGTCGCGCCTCCTCCATTTTGCACAATTTTTAACACGTCGTGTCGCTCGATCGCCACCGCCTTCCCCATCTTATCCACCTATGTATGTGTACCGCATATTTTCTTTTCTTTTTTTTTTTCGAATATCGCGCGAGGAGAAGCGTGAAAGTGTTGATCTCGATTTTTTAACACGATCGAGATTCTTCTTCTTCTTCTTAATTTCCGATCCAAGCCTTCCCTCCAAATCCCAAATTGTTCGTTGGTACGCATTCGCTCACCGCGTGGCGAGGATCGAGAGTTGACCTTCTTTAATCCCCCTCAGCCATTTTCGATCTCCGTCTCGAAAAAAGAAAAAAAAAAAAAAAAAAAAAAGAAAAAAACCAACCCACGCTTCTTCTCTTGGCACACTTTTCTTTTTATTTTTTTCAGCCCTCTCCCCGAGTTAACCGAGTTGTTGTTCGCCAGCCTTCGTAAATCCGTATCCCCTCCGACCTGCTCTGCTTCACGACCGCTATTTACGTTCCAGCTGTTGTCTCGAGCTCTCTTTTTCATTAAGTTTGCTGTTACTCGTGTCGTAGCGAGACACGCGCTAATGAGCCGGCAGTAGAGGCGAAAGCCCGCGCCCAGAGACGCCCGAAGCCCTGCCTATATATATCTACATATATATATATATATATATATATATACATATATACATACACACACACACACACACACACACATACGGAGGATGGGAAAGCAGCGAGAAGCGAATAGAAAATGGCGTGGCGATCTCCACTTGTTGGTTCGTTTGCTTCTCTACGAGGCGCATCTTCTATTCGCTCCCCCGTCTCTGTCCCATCCCCGAGACGAAGGAGAGATGGAATCGGTTCGAGTCGCAAAGACAACGCGTCTCGTTTCAGATGGTACAAGTTCATCGAGGGCTCGTCCCGCCGTCAGCCGGTCCAATTGAACGAGCGAGTCCGCCAGGTGAGCGGGACGCTGATCATCCGTGAGGCGCGCGTCGAGGATTCGGGCAAGTATCTGTGCATCGTGAACAACTCGGTGGGCGGGGAGAGCGTGGAGACGGTGCTGACGGTCACGGCACCGTTGGGGGCGGAGATCGACCCGAGCACCCAGACCATCGACTTCGGCAGGTCGGCCATCTTCACGTGCAACGTGCGAGGGAATCCCATCAAGACCATCTCCTGGCTCAAGGACGGGAAACCGCTCGGGTTGGAGGAGGCAGTGCTCAGGATCGAGAGCGTGAAGAAGGAGGACAAGGGGATGTACCAGTGCTTCGTGAGAAACGACCAGGAGAGCGCGCAGGCGACGGCCGAGCTCAAACTCGGTGGACGATGTGAGTTTTCCTTTTTTTCGAAAAGTCAGGGGAGAAAAAGTTTTAATTATTTATTTATTCCCTCTGTTCCACAGTCGAACCCCCGCAGATTCGCCAGGCCTTCGCCGAGGAGACGCTTCAACCGGGGCCCAGCATGTATCTGAAGTGTATCGCGAGCGGGAACCCGACCCCCGAGATCACGTGGGAGCTCGATGGCAAACGTCTGTCAAACACCGAGAGGCTTCAAGTCGGCCAATACGTTACGGTGAACGGCGACGTGGTCTCCAATTTGAACATCTCCAGCACTCACACGAACGACGGTGGATTGTACAAATGTATCGCAGCCTCGAAGGCAAGGAACCCTTCCCCCTTTCTCCCAGATGGACAAGATGGTATGATAATAATAACGAAGGTGGTACATGTCGGTCGAACAGGTCGGATCCGCGGAACATTCGGCGCGTCTCAACGTCTACGGTCTCCCCTTCATCCGCCACATGGACAAGAAGGCGATAGTCGCGGGTGAAACTCTTCGCGTGACTTGCCCGGTTGCCGGATATCCGATCGAGAGCATCGTGTGGGAGCGCGACACTAGGGTGTTGCCGATCAACAGGAAGCAAAAGGTATTCCCCAACGGGACCCTGATCATCGAGAACGTGGAGAGGATGAGCGACCAGGCTACCTACACGTGCGTCGCGAGGAACGCTCAAGGTTACAGCGCAAGAGGCACGTTGGAAGTTCAAGTAATGGGTAAGTTCGGCCATTCTTTCTTCGCCCATTCGGCCCCGTCTACTTGTATAGGAGTTTCCAGTTTTTCGATCGAATTCGAATCGTAACGCTCGATCGCGATTTTATTAAAGAGTAACTTTATCTTAATATTTTCAATATTTTTCTTTTTTTTAAAGATAATTGTTGTTGATTCGCGCGACGAATCGTATCTCGCGTTAAAAACGCGTTGTTTTCAGGTATCCAGGTGGTTGGACAAACGCGATAACGTTTCTTATCTTGCAGCTCTAATAACGACCACTCTTTCAGCTCCCGACGGACGATAAGATCGAATCAATCCAATCGAGTATCCAATCGGCCGAAATATCAATTACATACGCGAGATCGATATCTTTTTCATCCCAAAAGTCGCGTAAAGAAAAACATGGACACGGACACGGACCCCGTCAATGGAACGCTTTATTATAATCGCGCGTTACAACAAACACGGATCGTCTCGAAAAGAATGTTGGTATGGCGGTGGCTACATATATATATCGTAAGAAAAATCGTCTTCGCGCTTCACCAAGTACCGTGTCCCTGAACACGACGATGGATCGGCGTCTCTCGTTTTCTTTTCGTTTCACCAAAGAAAAAAAAAAAAAAAGAAAAAGGAGAACGAAACGCAGCCGATCCATCGTGACGTACGTATATATACGCTCGCGACATACCTGTCATCACACGTCCATACATCGATCCTCCACCCTCAGTGCCGCCCACGATACAGCAGTTCTCGTTCACCAAGCTACCCATGAACGCCGGGGAGTTCGCAAACCTGCAGTGTATCGTGCCTACCGGTGACCTGCCTTTGAACGTACGTTGGAGCTATCCCGGAGAGGAGATGGGCGGTTCCTCGGGCGTGCTTGCCAAGAAGGTCGCGGATCGCGTTAGCATGCTCATGATCTCGGTCATCACCGCGAGACACGCGGGGGAGTACGTTTGCACCGCTGAAAACGCGGCTGGAACCGCGTCCCACTCCACCACGCTCACCGTCAATGGTTCGGGACTATTCTTTCCTCCTCCTAATAAAAATATTTTCTTCGTTTCTTTTATTTATATATATATATATATATGTATATATACATACGTATACGCGTTTATCTTTCGTTTCCGTTCGTTCGTTCTTTGCACAATTGTTTCTGTCTCCGTAAAAAAAAAAAAAAAAAACAAGCACCGTAGAGAAGAGAAAAACCCTTTCTCCTTCCCCATATCCTCGCTTCTTCTTTCTCGAGAGATCCTCTCTCTCTCTCTCTCTCTCTATA